CCCTGATCTTATTGAAATAATTACCGAGCTTTTAATGTCCCATGAGGCACAGAGAGAAAGAACATGTAGTACAGAAAGAGAACGTAATGGAAACAGACAGAAATAGGACAGCCATTCTACTTTTTACACAGCAGAAACAAACTACTGTCAAAAGTTGAAGAGAATACAGAAATGATTGCTTAGCCAAAAATGAAAATTTAATTTGTATCTCAAGTGAAAGAATATTAAGAAACACTTCTAGGTAAAATAAAAATAAGTTGTAACTTACTAGAGTTTACTCGTCTTTCATAGACATACATAATCACTTAGATCAAAAGACGTACATTCATTCCTACACATGTATGTGTGTGTATAGGCATGCAGATGACATTTATATTTGAATACATGAAATGCAATGATAGAATGCATAATATGTTTCTTTTCCACTTTCAAATCTTTACAAATTATTTTGCTCAATGGGCACTGTATTTAATATGTCCTACAATTTAGCTCTGTAACACATAAAAATTGATTTGCTATGCAAAATATCTTTATCCTGATGAAATTGGTTGTATGAGGGCACTTCAAAAAGTCAATGTAAAAACAAAATTAAAATGTATGTTTATTTTGGTGCAAAATTTTTTGAAATCCATGCTTAGACTTTTCCATAATATGCATTTTCATGAGCTTTTTGAAGACCTGTGTATGCATGGATTTTTAAATCTTTTTTCCAAAAAATAAACTTATCGTGAAATTCCATTTCTTTTTGTAAAAGATTTATGTATTTGAAAGGAGAATTACAGAGAGAGCGCGCGCTTCCAACTGGTGGTCCACTCTCTAAACGGCCTCATCGGCTACGTCTGGGCCAGGACAAAACAAGCAGCTGGATTGGAAGTACAGCATCCAGAACTCAAACATGTGCCCTTTTGAGATGCTGGCATCACGGGAAATGGCTTAATCTGCTGTACCACAATGCCAGCTCCCTTCAATTCTGTTCTATTTCCGCTGACTTTTTAAAGTACTCCATCTCTCAGTAAATTTAAATATTAAACACAATAAACATTAAAAATAACTGTATGGCACACAGTAGGTACTCAACCTGCATAATGGATGAACAAGTGAATGAATTTGTACCTTGCCTATGAGTAATTTCTACAGTGGTTGTTTTCATCCTTAGCTCAGAAGGTAATATGAGGAATTTTGTGTCAGGGCTTCGAGGACAAACCTTCAAAATCAACTACTTTGTTTCATGTAGTAAATGGGCTTCCACTCAAGATTTTATTTATTTATAGAAAAGGCAACAAAGAGGCCAGTGCTGTGGCACAGCTGGTTACAGCCACAGCCTGCAGCACTGGCATCGCATATGGAATATGCTGCTCCACTTCCAATCCAGCTCCTTACTAATGCGCCTGGGAAGGCAGCATAGGATGGCCCAAGTGCTAGGGCCCCTGCACCCACGTGGGCGACCTGGAAGAAGTCCTTGGCTCCTGGCTTTGGATCAGCCTAGCTCCAGCCGTTTTGGCCATTTGGGGAGTGAACAAGTAGATGGAAGATTCTCTCTCTCTCTTTCCTTTCCCTCTGTGACTCTGCCTTTCAAATAAATAAATCAATCTTTAAAAAAAGAAAAGGAAATATAGTTTTCATTTTTTTAATGTGAATACTGCCAGCCGGTTGAGTCTTTACAACTTGGGTAGCTCCGTTTTCCAGTCATTTCACATGGGACAAACTGAACCTTTTGTCATTTCCATGACTTCTCATCTCCTGGTTGGGACTTGTGTTGCTCCTTTTCACTGAGAATGTTTTCACTTTCTTTTCTGCATATCTGAAAATTACTCTACTGTCTAACCCAGAACAGGGTCAGTGTTTTTCCATGCTCAAGGCTACAATGCATGAACGTGTGTTAAAGGAATCCAACAGCAATGGAGATATTATTCCTAAGTCCTAAACGTCAAGTATTTATATGCAACACATCAACTAATTAGATCACTAGACATCTTAAGATTTATTTTTAAATTTCATCTGAAAGTGCTACAACTATAGTGAAAATCTTACTACAAACATGTTCTAATAATTATCATCTTAATTTGGATCAACTTCCCTTATATTCTGTAGAATATAGTTTAGGCAATATTAACCATTCCTTTCTAATAAGAAAGGTTTTCCTTGTGTTATGAATAGAGCTTGAAAATTTATTTTTCTAAACAAATATAAAGCAGAAATGTAGCAAAAACTGTCTGACAAGGGACAATTCATTCAAACCATTATTTTCCTATTAAAAACACGTCCTATGATGTCAAGTTTCTCACTACGGGGTACCAGCTCTTGATGAGGGGAGGGGGAGGAAAAAGGGGGGAAGGGGTTGGAGAAAGAAATGTAGTTCAAAATTCTTCGGTAGCTAATAAGTACATGGCTATTGTCCCTGAAAACACTGCCATCTGTCGTCAGAAGAAAAAGGTCACTTGTTAAACTTTGCCAGGCAACAGGTTTTCTACAAGGAAAGAGAAATCATACAGAACACTGTTTCTGATCTCAGTGGCTCATCCTGCAGGGGAGAAAGGTCTCCATGGGGACTACCATTTGGAAGCTGCCCAGGAAGAAATACAGATTGCTGTCCTCAAACAGTGCAATAGTTCCCTAAAACAAGCTGATTCTGTTGTAGGCAACTTCAGAGTTATCGCAGACTGATACATACTCTTTTCATATGCACAGAGCCAAAATCATAATTGAAATTGCAACCACTACACCCGGGTTAATACTATCTTATTAACTTTTCCTAAACTTTCCATTAAATTTTATTATGTGATAAATGCTGCAATATTATCTTGTGGGTCCCTAAAAGAAAAGAAAGGAGAAAAATTGCCAAAAGCATCCTCTCTCCAGTCTTCATATGAAGAATTTTTAAAATCTTTATGTAACCCATTATTTTCTGTTTCACAGTAATTCACATTTCCTATGAAGGGATCATTACAGATGCCATTTGACACTTCCCACCCTCTGAAGTTTCACCATTTTTAATTAGGAAATTTAAGTTGCACCCCATATTAAATGGAGAAGGTGTTTTTGAGCCATCATTATATCAATTTAGATTCTCTAAATTAGACTAAATATTTTAGCTATAACTTAGAAACTCTAATCATGGAATGACATGGAGCTAAGCTTAAGTTTCATGAGTTTGGTGAATTTCATTGCCACATTCCCAGTCCTTACACTTCTGATTATCATTTCAGTCACCCACAATTATCTCACTAATGAAGGGGGAGGAACAGTGTAGAATATCTGACCGGGACCGTGTGAGAGCTTTGCGCACACTGCAGTTTAATCCGCATGGCAATGCTGAGAGGTTGCTCTCTAGACCCCATTTACAAATGAAGGAACAAGGGACATTATGCGTGGTCCCTGATTGAAACCCACACACATCCAGCTCCACAATTCTTACATTTTCCTTTAATGCACTCTGCCTCATTCCAGTGCAATTACACCTGTTCCCAGACTGTATAAATCTATTTTTGAGAGTGCAGAGTAATGGACCTGCTTCATCGTAAATTATTCCTACTTCTTGAAACACAGCACCAATAAACTTCTTGTGTGGGAGGTGTCATCCAAGATACGCAGATAGGAGGCGATTACAAAGGAGGGATTTGAAGAGGATGACAGATAACTCAGAAAGTTGAAGTAGACAGGTGAGCAATCCAGGGTTAGCCATGAAAGGCAAGGAGACTGGAAGAGGAGAGGCAGTGGCCATGATCAGGGGCTCACTTTGCCTAAGGGGGCACTGTCTTGAGAGAATACAGCAAAGCAGCACTTGTTGTGAGGGTTGGAACTGAGATCTTGACTACTGGAGTAGGAGGTGAAACCACTTACTAGTATGAGCACAAAGCCCTTTACCTACAGTTATACTGAAATTATGACAATCTCAGTGGTGTATGACTCTCACAGTGCAATTGCTGGAGCTCAGGTAATGATGTTCAGCAAATCTGCTTCAAGTGAGATCCCATCATGCTGAGAAAACAGAGGTCTTTGAGAAAACTTCTGAGTCCACAGCTTTACTTAGTGTTCAATGCATTTTATACCACCTGAAGAATAATTTATGAATCCAGTTTAGTACACAGTTAATGTCCCATCCACTACTATTAGTACCTGTTACTATCATAATCTGTAATCCTAAAAACAGTGTTGCATGGATCCTTCATCTTCTCACAAATGGTCAAAACACCTGAATGGAGCATTTTTATTAAAAACCACTCTAAAGGTTCTCTAAGGCTCTAGTTTTTAATATTTAAGAATATGATTTTCAATAGTTGAGAATCTTGTACTAAATTTTAAAAAAATGCTTGCTACCATTTATGGTCAATTCCTTAATTTCACAGTTGGAGAAGCCCACTCAGGGAAGATAAGTGACTCGCTCAGTTCCACAACCACTTAATAACAGAACTTGCCCCAGCAGCCACAGCCCATGGCTCTTTCTACTACACTCCAAATAAAGAGCCCTATTATTTTCCCATTGTTGAGAAGTTTTGACTATTGTTATGCCATTGAAGGTCACAAAGAACTATTTGTGGGGGGGTATTGCTACAAAGCAACCCAACTTATCAGTTCTGGGAAATCAAACAAGCTGCTTTTGCTTCTCTGAGTCTAATTTTTCTTATTCACAAAATGGGAATAATAATATGACTCCAACGTGGAGCACAACAGTGTCAAAAAAAAAGGCTTGTTGTCCTTCCAGTAATGTGTCACTTCCCAATATGATGACAGCTATTCTATCATCACTGAGAATAAATGAAATTTGCTTGAATTTACCAAGCTTCTCATGTCAGTTAAGTTACAGGAAAATCAAAGGAACATTTCAAGTTGCACGTATGGAAAAAAAAGGTTATAATTTCTACTATAATCAAGTGCATACTTGAGATCATTAGAATGAATGAAAAGAACAAGCAGTGTAATGAGGGAAAAAGAAAAAAGGATAGAAAGAGCTGTATGGAGCCCACTGTGCAAAGCCCTTTCTGCAACACAGTCCATCTTACCTTCAGGTGTCTTCCCCTACGTTATTAACTTTCGAAGGCAAGACTCAGACCTGTTAATCTTGTAATTCACCGGTTGTTAACACAGTGCCTGACATTCAAGAAGCATCCAGTACATGCTGAGTGACATCAACAGACACACTGTTGGGAGCCCTGTCCTTCTCTTATCACTCAGAAGAACAGACATTTTGTAGCATTTGAAACATTTTGCGTGGGACTATGTGAACTTGAACCATGGAATCACAACTTCATTAAAACTCAACGTTTCTTCCTGGTAAGTCAGAATGCTTGATCTGGACATTAATTACTTTAATTTGCCATACAAGGATGACATCCTCAGGAGCTACTAAGTACTTGCTCAGGGTTATAGTACAAAGCCTCGGATCTTTATGTGTCTTCACTTCTTAGAATTGGGTATTTCTGAAAGAGTTTTTTCAGGATCATATACACCTGACAGGTTGTCTTGTTACTATGGTCAGCTGAAGGCTGACACTAGCAACCAGCAGCCTGCTTTATAACTTGCTGTTTATAAATGCAGTAGCCTCAGAAACCTTATCACCAACTCAGTGAGATGAGACATAGAACATGAATTTCAGATAATCTGAATTATATCTCTTTTAGCTGCTACTGTTTAAAAACTATATTCTGTGTACACGACTTCATTTACCCCCAGAAAAGAGAAAAAAATATGAACACCAGAAAAATGGTAGTGTGTAATTCTGTTGAACTGGAGTGACAACAATATGTTTGTTTTATTCTCTTTTAAAACTAAGGATATTCAGGTACATCAGAAGTCCAAAGCCAGTAAAATTCAGTTCTTAATAACAGGGCTATGAAGATAATATTAAAGAGTTTTTAAATGCCGACTTTAGCAGACCAATAGTTGCCACTGCAATCTTTTAGAAGGTTCTATCACCAGACTTCTACCACAATGTTCTCTATGCACTATGAAATTATCTTCATGTTCTTTGATATAAAAATATACTCTCCATGGGAACAAATTAAGCAATATGATTCTTAGCGATGTTTCAGACAATTTTGGTAATACATGGCAGAACAGAAAATGCACACAACACCCAAATCTTCTTAACACTGGGCATTTGGGTCAGTGGTTAAGATACCCCTCTCCACATCAGGCAATCTGGGTTCAAATGCCTGGACACTGGTTCCCCAATTCCAGCGTCCTGCTCATGTGTAGACACTGGGAAGCAGTGGTGATAGATCAAGTCATTGGGTTCCTGCCGCACATGTGAGAGACCTGGATTGAATTTCTAGCTCCCATCTTTGGTCTGGCCTAGCCTTGTGTGCACATGTGGACTTCCATATGAATAAAATTAAACTAAGGAATTTGTATCATGGGCAAGATGACTGTAAAGATCCCTCTCAGGGTGAAACTAATTGAGTTCCAGGTCTTAAGTGACAACTTAGAATTTGTGGTGTGAGTTTCTATGTTTCTAACCTCCCCTATGACCATTCTAGCCCCAGAAATGCTACAGTTTAAGCACACAATTTGGTCACTCTTGCCAGGGCATACCCATTGTACTTTCCCTCTCTGTCCTTTCCCTATTTTCTCACTCTTCAAGGTCCAGTATCTCTCCTTTCTCCAGGCAGGACGATTCATTCATTTCATTCCCTTCACACTCCGTCCTCAGCATGTACCATCCAGAGCAGCATCTTATGTTCATATGATCACCTTCCCCACTGGGAGATCCGTCCAAGGATAGAGCCTTATCTCGCTCCAGTCCTACCGCTAGGACTAGTGGAGTTCCAGACACGAAGTAGGTGTTCCGAAAAGGTTGACCAAATACCATTGAATTGGTAGTGAGAAGCATGCCACATGAGTGTAGACTTTTCAACCCTCATCAAAAGGTAATTTTAAAGAGTAAAAAAAAATACAGAGGGTTCTACAAACTATCTTCACTCATTCAAAGCCATCAGTGTGTTTCAGATTTCACTTCATTTTATTTGTTCATCAAGCTAACTGAGGCCCCATGGAATGGATATCCAATACATAAATAGCACAGTATCCTTGTACACAGCAATGTGTCTTTTTTTCTTGGGTAGTCCATGGTCCTATGTCATTGTGATGACCTCACATGTCAAAGAAAAGGTTTGTCAAAGAAAAGTGCCAGTCAAGGCACTCACCAATAGAAAAGTCCGAGAGAAATGTATGAGAAAAGCAATAGAAGAATAGGATTTAGCAAGCCGTGAGTGTGAATATAACCAAGAAAGGAGGGAAATGAAGTGGGTATTTGGTTTAGTAATTAAGACACCAGTTAGGATGCTTGGTTCCACATCAGAGTGCCTGGGTTCAAGTCCAAGCTCTGCTACTGATTCCAGCTTCCTGCTAATGCAGACCTTGGGAGGTAGTGGTGATGGCTCAAGTAGTTAGGTTCCTGCCACCTATGTGGAAACCTGGGTTGAGTTCCTGGCTTCTTAACTTTTGACTCCAGTCATTCATTCAATATAGGCATCTGGGGAGAGTAAACCAGTGAATGCAAGATCTTCCTTCTCTCTCTCTCTCTCTCTCTCTCTCTCTCTCTGTAAATTTGCCTCTCCAATAAATAAAATGAAGGCATAAGGAGACTCATGCCAGCACTTTTCCAGACTACATGTGCATATACATGATCACATTATGCTAGAGATTTTACAAAGACTTCTTTGAATCTGACAAATGATTCTTTTCCTTAAACAACCTGAGTTTGAATAAGAAAGCTTACAAGACCTAGAATCCACTATTACTGTCAGCTCCATGAGCCTATAACCCTTGGACACTGAGAAATGAGATTAATAGCAGTTGCCATTTGAGTGACATTCAGGTACCAGGTACTGGGTAAGAGTGATTCTATCAGTCAACTTAAAGTTTCAAAGTGCCAGAAAGAAATATGCTTCACTTAAGACCCACTATTTAACAATGTTCTGCTTCACTTAAGACCCACTATTTAACAATGTTCGTTTTCTACCTCCTTTGCTCCAGGAGCACCAAATAATTGGATGAAGAATTTCCATGAGAATATGAGACAACATGAGCTACAGAATCTCCTTTAAAAACAACAACAACAACAAAAAGCGAATAGAAAGCCAGCATCCTTGTGATTTAGACCAGAAGGAGAGATCAGTGAAATGCCACTTGCTAGTCCCTCTTTGCACCTTTGCACCCTTTATTTATGGTTTTACCATAAAAGTTACAACCTGCTAAGAAAAAGAGACTGGGTGGAATCTACAAAGGAAATGCTCCTAGCTCATGATTCAGAATTAAAGTTGGGTCCAGATTATTGAGTCCTAGGCCCTGGGACACCATTGGTTAGTAAAACACAGGGGCTACAGAGAAGGCTGCAAATTATGAGGGTACTACAAAAGTGTTCATAGAAATGGCATTAAGAGGTAAGTTTATTTTGGCGTAAAATATGTTGAAACCCATGCATACGAGGGGTCTTCAAAAAGCTCATGAAAATGTGTATTATGAGAAAACTACGTATGGATTTCAAAAAATCTTCACATCAAAATAAGCATCTTTATTTCCATTTTCCACTAATGTTCTGAAGTATCTGCATAAATATAAAAATCTCCAGTAGGCAGAAATATCTACCTAAGAGGTGTTAGAATTTTAAACCAGGGATTGCCATTCAACTGCACTTCAGACCAAAAATGTCATCTTTGAGACCTGCAGACAGTGTTTCAGCTTGTTGTCTGGGTTTTTGTTTAATCACTTTAGCTGCATCTTTATGTAACAGGAACAAGTTTGTTTTAATTTTTCAATGACTTAAAGATGATTTAAAGTATAGAAGCTTAAAAAAAAAACAGCCTTTCTATTTGACACCACCAACTGGTTTGAATGTAAGTCCTATTCTAAGACATCCTTGATTTGTTGCACAGATTTATATCTTTTCATGTTCCTTCTCATCATTAGGCCAATTATGAAGGAATTATTACCTTTGCTCAATCTGATTTTTTTATGGACTTCATTGAAATAGTCTCATCACTCACAATCCATTTGAGATTGGTCCATTGCCCAGAATTGCAGAAAGGATATTTCTGATGAAATCCCATTAGCCTTAGGAGGAGATGCCCATTTATACATATGCATATACATGTACATATACATATACACATATACATATATATGAGTATATATGTGTGTGTGTGTGTCTGTGTATGTGTGTGTGATCCTCATCAAGAGATGACTGTGGAATTCTATACATTTGAACTTGGAAATAGAGCCTTTCTTGTATAACTGTGACCTACTGCTCTTTGTTCACGTGAGTTGTTAGCCAGTTAAATTTAGGAGGGCTTCACGTTTCACTGTTGTCCCAGGTGAATTATTAGGCATGAACTCCCAACAGCAGGCCTTACAACTCTGTATTCAAAGCAGAAACAGCTTTGAAATCCTTCAAAGCATGACTTCATTAGAATTAACCATATGAATTTGTATCCGTTATCAGAAATTTGTATAAAATAGCAATGTGCTCCCCTTAATAAGGAATTCCTTTTAATATCACTAATCAAAAAACATAAAATTGTTATTAAAATAGCAGCACATGTTTGGACCAACTGTGCCTAACTTATCATTCCTAAGAAAGTTTTTTTTTTCTTTTTGAAGTTTATAAATATGCTAGGCCCATATTTCTAACTTTTAATTTAAAACTGATGGCTATAATAAGAACTGCAAAAATGAAACATTCTTCGTTGAGAGCCATAATTCAGAAAGAGAATGATTTTACAAAGCCTTGGAAACTATATGTTTTGTATCTTCTTAGAGGCAGAAAAATAATTTTTTGAAAAAAAAAAATCAAAATCCCCACAATTGTTTTCAGCGTATTTTTAGCAAATGGATAGTAATGGAGAGGGCTAATATATACATAAAGACCTACAGACACTTTTCTAAATAGCATCAGTGATTCAAACCCAGAAATGCAAATTAGGTCAGTTTCTTCATTTGGCTACAATGTCAATCAAACAAAAAAAAATAGGTCTGATAAAAATGTGTCTTTTTCACACTTAGGTTTTTGAACAATAGATTTCATAACACTAATATAAACAGTCTGTTTGGTCCTCCAAAATTACATGAAAAGGATAGTTCCTGATCTACTCAAACTTGTCAAAAGGTAACTTCAGAAACACTATGCTAACTGTAAACCATTTTTTGAAAGTGAATTTTTATCATTGCAGAAGTTTTTGGTTTGATTAGCCCTTACCTTAGCAAACCTTGAGGTTCACAAAGTTCTAACATTCTGAATGGATTTGGTTTTTATCAGCACACAAATAGATCATTGCTCCTTTTGGAGGTGAGAATGCTTGATAACTTAAGTACTTTTCCCCTGGAGGGAATGGCACTGTCATTTGTTTTTATTTTCAAAATGAAAACAAATGGTACTATAATTCCTGCAGGCAAAAATGACTTCAGTCTATTGCTTCTACTCTACAGTCTCATCTATTCATTTTTAGTTCGATGGAATAGAGATATGGCCCCTCCACCCCCACCCCCATGTCTTGCACTGCGGCAAAATGTATTCACTCGCTATACAGTAATTAACAGCTCTTGACTGGAAGACTGCCAGCATGGACAACGTGACACTCTTCCTTTGAACACTAACAAAGTGCATAAGTAATTTATGTTGGATTAAATATCCCTAACAGGGACCCTTAAGTAACCCAATCACTTTAAACAGGCTCCACATGCATGCTCCTGTGCACTGAAAATGTCAGACAGTGATAACCCACTAATAGCACAATTCTAACTATATTCCAGCCATTAGCATTTTATGACATCAATCCTCATTAAACCTGGCAAGGAAAAAGATACTAATGTTTCCCAATTTTACAGCTAAGGTGGAGGAGAAATGGAGAAAATGTAGACAGGTGCTGTCTCCCAAAAAGGATTAACATTTTTTAAAATGTGGTAGCAATTTTCTGTTAGTACCTTTGTTTGCATTGAAAGAGAGACAACAAAGAGGTAATGGCTACAAGGACCTCGATGGAATCCAGCCAAGAGTGAAAGAAAAGACTGGTATTTCAGCCATTGTGCTCACTGCTAAAGCACTGTGCCAACTCATCTTCCAACCCATTATATGAAATTTAATTTAACCTGCTATGCAATTAATTCAGATGTTCAGCCTATTTTTCTCATGGCAGAATCCCTCACACAATGCCTTATTTAAATATTAATCAGTCCTCTTTCAATTAGGACTAATTTGCTTCACAGGGTTTCTCTCATCTTCTGATTGCAGGAAAATGGAGGTAACTTGCAACGTTTGAGGATAATTAACATGGTATTTTTATAATACTGATACATCAAATGGGACCTTAATGAACCCCGCTGATTCCATTTAGTAAAGCATGCCTCAAAGTTATAATCAAGAGGAAAGCCATTGCCATCTGTTTAAAATACTAAGGAGCACAATTTAAACACAAAATGCTTATTTCTCTAAACTGTCTATTGTCAAGGTCTGCAAAAGTCATTTTTCTATGCAAACTAATTGTACAGTATTTTAATTTGAACCTTTTATTGCACATATACAAAACAGTGACATCTTAAGATGTAGGAGCCCTGTTTAATTAAATGTTGACAACCACAGAAATAAGTAATGTTTGTTAATGTTACTTTTCTCAAGCACGCTGCGCAGTTGCCACTAAAGCAACAGTAGTAAGTTGTACATTTCTGATGTATCTAATATGTCACAGCCTTTTGTTTAATATTTGAAGAACTTCTCTTAACAAAAGCCACCGAAGCTCTCTGCAATGGAAAAACATAAGCATACGCTGTTCGTTTGCTGCTTCTCACGTCACAAAGTAAACAGGTTAACATTTACACATGGCCAGTTGTTCACAAAGTGTTCCATCTGCTTCCAGGCAGGTTGAAGGTCAATGTTTTAGGCTCGGAGCTGTTCTAGAGTTCCTTGGTAACATCTAGGTGACTGAGCCTATTGGCTCCCAAGGTCATTATCAAAGCACTCAGCATGTTCCAATGGTAATAAAACATGATTGATAACAGATTGCTTATTTACAATGTTTACACTATGGCCACAAGGATTTCCTTTGTTAACTTTTGAAAAGGGAGGCATTACCTGTGTAGGTGTAAAATAAGAATCAGGATCTCCACTCCTTGTCCTTAGAGAGTCACTTTACTTGCTGGATCATTAGACCAGAAACATCATATATTTCACTCTCAAAAAGTGTATAAGCATTTGTTATGAGATATCACATTCATATTAGTTACCAATCAATAGAAGGATTAATTGTGTACCTAAGGCATATTATCCATAGTCAAGGAAGAAATTATTTGAGGTACAGAGAACAAGGGATTCTCTTTTTATGGGCCCTCACAAGGGTGGGGATAAATTTGGGTCAGGCAGGACAAGTAAGTAAGGGAGGCAATGGGTGTGGCAAAGAACAATGAAGAGATCAACTGTAGTGGGGGGTGGATTAGGGTGATGCATTATGGGAAATAAAAACCCACAGCTAAATTCTGATACTTCATTAGTCTCAATGAACAGCACAAGGGAGCAGTATCTATGTTTGTTATTTCAGTGAGTTAAGAGTCTTCCAGGACAAGATCTACAATCTCTCATCTCCAAGCAAGCACATGGCCTGTTTCCCACAGACTGGGCCCAAGTCAGCCTTTTGCTGCTTGTATTAAGATTCATGTACTCATTCTTCAAACACTTAACTAAGCACATACTATGTTCCAGTCTTGTTCTAACCATCTAATATAAGTTTGTGAACGAAAAGATAAGGCTTGTACCTGCTCTCAATGAGTTTAAATCCTAATGGGAAGAGACAGATGACTTAAACAGATAAATGAGAGAACTTCCACTCACACACATTGATGAAGAACACAGAGCTAGAGGCGGATATAGGCTGATTGGCAGGGACTACTTGAATGGGGCGGTCAAGGAAGACAGGGACATCAGGCTGAGACCTGAAGCCAGCTGGCCGGGTGGATGAGAGGAACATTTGAAATAGATGAAGAAATAACCAGGGAGAAGACTGGAGAGATAGGCAAGGGATGCAAAATGCATGGCCCTGTGTTCATGAGAAGAAACGGGATTTCATTTTTCCTAAGTGCATGGGATGTAACTGGAAGGCTGTACGTGAGGCAGTGACTTCAACTCACTCCTGTGTGTTCTCTCTGCATCTCCTGCGTGGGAAAGCGATGGGGGAAGTGGGGGAAGAATCAAGGTTAGGAAGCTCCCACAGCCATCCCAGTGGGCTACACTGGGACTGGTGGGAGAGGGAGCATCTGAGACAGTGGGAAGCAGGTGGACCAGATACAGGAGTGAAGGCAAGACAGCGAGGGAGTAAGGATGACTCCAAGGATGTTGCCTTAAGTAATGGGGTGTCTCTTTCTGAGACTGGAACAGTGTAGGAGGAACATACAGAGTTCTCTTATGATTGTTTGAGGTTTACAGGTAGAGCTGGGATCCAGTAAAATAAAATCATCCAAAAATGTTCAACATCACTAAGTATTTCTTAATATATTCTATTATATTTATCATATATTAAGTCAGTTATTTTGTATTTACTATGGTTAGTGTTTATACAAAATTTTTTCTCAACAGCTTTTGCTATGGTTACTTCCTTGTAGTCTCTAAGCATGTCATACAGTATGCAACCTCAGGACCTTTGCTTGTGCCCTGGCCCCTGATTGCCTTTCTATTCCCATGCCCTTTCTTCTAGCTAATGTTTATGTTTTAATAATAGTGAAAGCTAATTCTTAAAATTGCTGCAAGGATAGGGAACCTTTTCTCTGCCAATGGCCATCTGTATATTTATAGCATCACTTGAAGGCCATACAAAATGATCAACTTAATAATTAGCCTGCTATGGATACACTGAATTTTGAGTTTCACATGCAGTGACCTTGGCAGGCACACACCAAATGAGTTGTCCTGTGGGTCGGTTGTTCCCCACCCGTGAAGAGGAGTGACAGGCAATGTGCTAAGTGCTTAAATGACATGATTGCACTTACAGCTCAGAGAAACTCTATGAGATAAATAGTGTTCCAACTTTATATAAGAAGAAACCAAGGCAAGAGAGGTTAAGATTCAGTCTGGAAGTTTCTCCTGATGTGCAAAGCTAGTTTAGACCCCTTCCTCCAGGTGCTCTGGACATATTTCTCCCATTGTGAGCCAGAAGATGACTGAAAACATGGTTCCCAGTGCTCTGACAGCCTTGAGGGCAGTGATCACATCTGACTCATCTGCCCATTACCAGGCTGGTGTCCCAAGCACACAACAGACACTCAGCACCAAACACCTGATAAGAATGACTATCTCCAGTGGCTACAAGGGAAGCAGAAGGAAGAATGGGAGTTCTTGTTTAATGGATACAGTTGCACTTGGGATGAGGAAAATGTTCTGGAGACGGATGGTGGTGATATGAAAGTACTTAATGCCCCTGCACTGGCAGATTTGATATTACATATATTTCCAGCACAACAGCAACAACAATAATACATGATCAGTGTCCAGTCACCATTATTGCAAGAGAGCAGGGATCAATGGGAATTTACTCTGGATATGAATGTAAATGTCTGCTAAACCATGAGTTAGGAGAATCTATCATACAGAAAAATGGTCTTACAGAATTGGGACAGGTTGTAATTATGGGGCTATCCAATGTCTCTACTAGGTCAGTGCAAAAAAAATTAATGATAAAGCCGACCATGTGATATATAAGGATTCTTCAAAAAGTTTTGGAGGAGCAAATGCTTAGCGTAGAAGTTAAGATGCTGACTGAGACACCTATGTATCACATGGGATAACCTGGGATCCAGTTCCAGCTCTACTTCAATTCCAGCTTCCTGCTAAAGCAGGCCCTGGGAGGCAGTAGGTGATGGCTAAAATAGCTGGATTTCTGTCATTCACATGGGAAACCTAGAATAAGTTCCTGCTTCCTATCTTTGAGGAGTGAGCCAGAAGATGGGAGCTCTCTCTGTCCCTCTCAAAAACAAATAAACAAGAGGCATTTTATTTAAAAAGTTCATGGTAAGTGCATTAAAAGATTGGTGCAAAAAGTTTTTGCAATCTATACATAGCTTTTTTTATAATACTTATTTTCCCATGAACTTATTAAAAACCCCTTCATATGTGAAGGTTGTGCACAAAGCAGACTGTGTAGCCTATAGAAGATGATCTATTCTAGAGAAAACACTTTCTGGCAGTGGGGAGATCAGGGTGGGCTTGCTCCTGCCATCTTACCATGGCAAAATATGCCCTCTCAACATGAATTTCTACAGTAATTTGTGAGCTGCTCATGCTCTTTCAGATTCAAAAATCTTTGGAACCCTCAGAGAAGCACACTGAAAAAAAATGTACCTAAATAAAAATTTGAAAGTAGCCCAGAGTCTGACTTACACGTGCACTGACCATAAAGGGACCTTCCAGACCACAACTCATCTGCAGTTGCACATATTCACAGAGGCCAACATCCTGAAAACACCTCTTGTA